TATATATATATAGAGAGAGAGAGAGAGAGAGAAGGAGAAGCGATATGAGGTTTTGTGGTAAGGAGAGTGTGCATGCAGTGTGTTTTGCTAATGTGTTTAATTGATATCTTAGCTAGTTTTCTACTTATTCGGACATCCAATCAAAACTTGTACCATGATCATCTAAATATACTATATATATATATATATTGGTTTTCATATATGATCAAGGCAAACATGTTTAATAGCATGCTTACAGTATGTGAACGCATACATAGTTTTAATTTGAATTTATTGATACTGACATTTTTCTGTGATAGATATCATATATGATATATGTATAGTTTGTATATAACAATAGAAAAACATAAAAATAAGCATGGGTTGTCATGAACCTGAATAATCATGATTACATCAAGAACGCATGCCTTTCTAATTATTCCATATATAATTTTCTATTTTTAAATCTGAAAGAAGCTGAAAAAATAGAAAGAAAATTTGACATAAAACGATACATATAAATACATAGAACGAAATGCAAAATATGTTTATCTGATTTTTCATGGCCAAGAAAAGAAATTAAAATAAAATTTCATGCATTTAAGTTTGGCCAAAATTGTAATACACAGTAAAAAATTCACATTTCAATCATGTTGGTAAAATATTCGGTCCAAAATTGCTCCGAGTCATTTCGGAAATCAAAAAGGGCTTAAATTATGAGGCCCTGCGTAAGCCCAAAACTCCGTTAGGTGGGCTCAATTAGGGCCCACATGACAGATTCTTTACCTAAACGTCGTCGTATAACGAGGTGAAAAGTTAATATAAATAAAATAATAATTAAGACATATTTGAATACTTCGTATCCGACACGGACAAATACCATTGTTCACATTTCAAAGAAGGTCCAAAAAGGGGAAAACACACACTAAGAGGCTATACATACACGCTCATGTCCAAATCCAAACTCCGAAATCCACTCACTATACAAACAAAACACGAAGAATAATTAAGGGGTTTTGTTTTGGTGAAGAAACTTCAAGAAACAGAGTGTCGTCTTCTTCTCTGGAACGCGAACCTGCTCTCGGAACTTGCCTTGCCTCCCAAGGTAGGTTTAAGGCTCGCGAATCTGAAAAGGGTATTGAGTTTGCTTAGTTTCTTGGTGAACGACTTGAACAGCTTCGTCCCGGGATGAGATTTCACCAGTTCTTGCTTCATCGATATGTGATCCTTCTCCAGATCCGTCAACCTCATCCTCATCCTCGCCACCTCCAGCTTCAGCTCTCTGTTTTCTCTTCTCACTGATGCGTAGTTATCCCTTGGAGAGATCGCTCCGCTTCCTTCACATCATCCGAAAAAAAAAAAAAGATTTCGATCAGTACAGATTTCAGATTGTTCTTTCATGACCCAGAAGTCGAAATCTCGAAAAACTGGTTTCTGAATTGAAAAAAACGAGACTTGGGATGTGGAGGCTACCTGCTCCGCTGCCGGAGCGCTGAGGGAACTGGTGAAAGTTGCTGAAGAAGAACTGAGTAGGGCCCACTGCGCAGGTCATGGCGTTTCTGAGTCTGATCTGCTCAAAGTACAAGACTTGTACGGCCATTTGCACGGGCAGCCTCTCGTTCTGAGCTGCATGGCTACACGCTTCTTGCGACAGTTTCTGGCAATCGATCGTTTTGCAGAGACGGTATCGCTCGCAGTCCTTTATGTTTGGATGAACCTGAGAACGAGACACCGAGATCTGGTCGTTATTACAAATCACAGAACTGCGTTTTCTGATGCAAGAAAACAGAAAGAAAAGAAGGTTACTTTTAGGTATATATCCACAGATCGATACAGTCCATCGCTGACTATACGAGCATGGTCTGGAAGCAGTTCTGCCAAAGCTATGAACTTCGAAGGAGTAAGGTTCGGGTCCAGAGCGATTTCCGCGAGATAATTGTCCATTAGCTTCGATACCTTCAAGATCGAGCTCTGTTTCGGGGATCCGGGGCTGTCGAAATCGAACATCATTTCACTTTCATCCCTGAAATGATGCCCTTCATCATCGTCATCGTCATCCCCCTCGTCCAAGTTCAAGAACATGGAGAAGATCCTCAAGATCGAATCCGCGTCATATAACGTGTTGTTTCCGTTTGAGTTCGTGGGAATCAAAATGTCTTCGAGGATTGCTTGGTCGAGCTGAAGACCGATTCGACGTTCGAGATCGGATTTGCAGGAACCAGAGGCTGATGCTGCAATGACCGTCTTAAGAAGACTTGAGAGAAACGCCATTGGAACCGAACTCCTCCTTCCTTGCGTTGGAAGCAACCTCACGATCGTTTCCACGATCTCACGTTGTTTCATTCTGATCTCCAGATCAAGAATTCTGTCTTTCTCCATGTGCAGATCGCGAACGACAAGCCCTTGAAGTGACTTATTAGCGTAACTTATCAGAATCTTACTGATCATGTCTTGTCTCAGACCTTTCGACTTGACTGCCGACACAACCCTTTGGAAGAACTCCAGATTCAGAACAGTTAGGGCCTTTCCCCACCAATCCAATGGAGTCTCTGGTTCGACATTCTTGACCGGAAAGTTATGATCGAGCTTCAATAGCCCGGAAGTCAGCTGCTCTTTACAAGCGTTATTGGCAATCCCGTCGATCAGCCTGTTAACCAGATTGATCTCTTCCGCCACAGGCAAGAGGCTTTCGCAGTGGTGAAGAACAACGATCGAGTTCGATATACTGGAGAGAACCGAATCTTTGAGGAAGATCTCGGTCTTGGTTACGAGATTTTCCTCGGAGAATTCTTCCGTCATTTCCAGGAAATGGGCTGCACTCCGGAGCTTAGCCACGTTCAGAAGGTGGATATCGATGTTTATGCCATAGCAGTACTTGGCAGCCAGCTCAAATGCTTCAGACCCTCCAGGAACTGAACTTAAACATACACTGGATATTTTCGGGTCCTTCGATTCGGCCATTAGCTTCCTGATCCTTCCACTTCGAGAGACGAGAGGGAACTGCGACAAAAAAAAAAAAACATGAGCCACTTCCTTCATGTCTGAATACATAACCAGCAAGAACTGTTCTGCTCAAGTCCTTAAGATAGGATAAGATAACCTTGTGAAGCCCGAAACTCGAGGCTCCGACCTGAACGGTAAGATCACTGGAAACATCGGATATCGGCCTGCAAGCAAAACAGAGAAAACCTCATCAAGATCTCGGGTCGAAGCGGAGTGATGAAACGAATCGAAGATCAGTATACTTCAACGGAATCATGTAGTAACTTCTTCCGTACTCCTTTGTTCCCGAAGTAAATGAATCTCAGACACAGATATGAAACAGGGGATGAGCAAGAAGGCCAGATTGTGAAGATAAGGATACAGTAACATAATCAAAATAGGGTGTATGAGATTTTCGCTCGCAGAGAAACGCCAAAAAAATTTCATGATTGGATCGAAATCTTAAGGGGATTTTTCTCTGTTTTCAGACAAGGAAAATTTTTGCAGGGGACACTGAAGTTTAGATGATAGCTAAGATTTGTCCACATTATCCAAGTGAAGCCAGAATTATGTCACGATCAAACGCAACTGTTGTACGGACATGTTCCATGTCATAGATTGAAAAAAAAAGACGTGGAAACTGATGGTCACAAGAACAGTATTCAAACCCTTTTATGACAGATTTTCTGTAGAATGCTCACTTGTGGCTGGCTATAAAAGGTGTTGGATGCTTCTGGTTCTGTCCAAAGGTTCGGTTTCAATGATACGTTCATGTGCTGAGATTCATCTAGCATGAACACAGAGAGATCTCATGGAACAGAGAAAACACAGAGTTAAGGTAGTGTGGGAAATACCATTCGGAAGCATGTCTGATGCTGGAATTCATACGAAATCCCCTCTTCCCTGTGAATGCTGGCTTCAGTTCTGCTACTGTTACAATGCCCATCTCTCTCTCTCTCTCTCTCTCTCTCTCTCTCTCTCTCTGTGATTCTCTCTGGGATAAAAGGGGTGGTGAAAGTGGAAGAGGGTCAAGCAGTATTGAGGTGATCACTCGGATCCAATTACTTAATTACTTTGTTTATAGGAAATCAAAGTACTTAGTCTTTGTCTGCTGAATATAGAAATCCCAGTTTATTCCGACAAGAATCATCTCCAACTTGGGAGGGAGAGAGAGATCGTAGTTTGGACGTTGAACATGTAACAATGATTATACCATGTCTTAATGCGTTGTACTTGCATTAAACCCACCCTTTAAAACCCCCAATTTTAATTTATCTTTTATACAATTCTTTGAAAACAATTGTTACTTATAAGTTAAGAGTTATTTCCGTTGCTTATCCACCAAATTCAAGGTTTTTTCTCTTGATTTTTTAGCTTTTTTGGCAAGGTTTTCAGGCTTGCTTAGCTTAACCACCATATCAAATATTTTTAATTAAAAAAAAAACATTTTAGGGATCATGAAATAAAAGCAGATGTGGCAGGGGAAGTCCAGCCGGCTGCATTGCTTTTGGACCATGTAATTAATGATGTCAAATGGCACCTAAAATATAATAATCATCAATCTAAATAAAAAGGGTTTATCTTTAAATTAATATCTTAATTACGTGTAAAGCTGCTGATGCGCGCCCTAAGTCGAGTGAGTCTACACAACAACACATTACAATTTTTGATTGGGTCATATTAGTTTTGTAAGTTAAATTAATTTATGTAAATCCACCCATAGATACAATTATATTATAAGTATAGGTGTTGGATGCATCCATCATAGCTAAGGTTTTAATCTTTTTTAGATCCTAATCATCTAAAATGATATGTACGTATATGTGTGTGTATATATATTTGTAAGAAACATTCATGATTACATGTAATAAAGGAGCAAAGGGTTAGGGGGATGAAGCAAGCGATGGGATAGATAGCTTTAGATTTATTGTTTAATATAATTAACCTTAATCCCCTTCTTAATCAGTATCATAAGTGCAGCTTTAGCTCCGCTTTTATTCACCCTTAAAAGCTATAATTTTGGACCACCTAAATTACATCGATTTTATACGCATGGAGTGATTCTAAAGTTTGGACCGACCACATATATATATATATGTATGATATACATATAGACATGCGGCGTGCGTGTGTACGTATAGGCGTTGGCGTCGTTGATGATTTCACTTTTGCAATGTATACGTATCTATATGCATGATTAGGTCGCAGCGCATCCTAACATAGATAGCAGCAATTACAAGCTATAGAATTTCATTTTCAAGCATATAATAATAGCATTTTTTGTCACTTGTGTGTGTAACTGTGTATATATAATTTGTACGATTATATATGAGAATATCATGGTGTGCAAAAGTTCGATATAAAGATTAAAGACATACAAGAAAACACATGAACTGAATCGATATGAAATATGCATGCATGTATGGTATGGGGATCGTAATAGAAATCGTCATTCTACGACGTCGTTTTTCTTAATTAAATTATTCTATATGTTTAATGTGATAAATATGAATTAGTTTTGTATTTTGATTTTTCGGTGTACAAATTAATTCCGTACGATTGGGAGGAAATTCTGATAGAATTGGAAAAGACAAAATCGTTATAGTCGGCGCGTCATCTGATCCGCTTCCTCGATTCGCGTGTTCCTCTCACGGTTCCTTGGCTAGCGGTGTTGGCGTCGAGGGATATCCACTCCCATCTTCTAGTCGCCAAGTAGGGTTTTGTCTGTCTTCCTCCGTAGCTGTTCTAGGGTTTGATTTTGATGCGGTGCTAATGGTGGAGAGACGGAAGCCTCTGGTTCTTTCAACCACCAGAACTGCCGTCCGTGCAGTCCTAAATTCGTCGCGACTCATCGATGCCGGCGATCGAGCCGTGACGGAGGACGGGTTTTCTGACGGCGGAGATGATGGGTCACGCCGGAGCATTCCGTTGACGGCGGGTATTCTCCGGTGGAACGGTGGCGGAGAAAATGCTTCTGTTTCGAAGCTGGATTCACTTGATGACTCTGCCTTGGTTGGGCTCTCAACCCAGGTGCTCAAGAGATTATCTATCAACTCCGGTTCTTTGGTAAGGGCTTGCTTCTCTTGTTTGGTTGCCTAGAAAGTGCAAGAAAGTGGAAAATATAATGGAATTTAATACTGTTTATCTTTCCGGTTGTTCGAATGTTAAGCTTTTTCACATCACAACCTTTTTATATTCACCGCACAATTGATAATTTGACTAGATACCATACTAATTCTTGGGAGAATGGTGGAGTTTTTCCGCTTATTTGAGTTGTTCTTCGGGTTGATGTAATGTAAAACTGCTTCCTCCTCTGTTTTGTTTATTCAGTCGACCTTCTATATGCATAGATTCATTTTGATTTCTGGCGTTAACACAGTCTGAATAATGCAAGGTTGCGGTCAAGAATACTGAGATGAACATCCAACGGGTAGCCCAAGTCGCCGTGCTAGATCCTCCCAAGTCAAATGATGATGCTTGTGTTGCAAGAGAACCCATTTCTGATTCTTCCCATACAATGCTTGTCTTCCCCACTTATGATTTTCACCCAAAGGGCCCTCTCTTATTGGATCAGGAAGTTGCTTACCTATCTCCAGTATTTGCTTTTAATCTCGGCTTGCACATTTCATGCCTAAAGTCCCTCGTCCATAGAGGGAAGGAGGCCTTGGAGACATATTTTGAAGCCACGTTTGATGATGGTTTATACGGGAAAAGTGCAGATGCGACAACAATTGGTTTGGAATTGCAACCAATGTCTCAGGTTGCAGTCTATGCTTCACATCTGAGAGTTTCTTTTGTTAAGATCCCAGAGTGTGGTACCATTCAATCCCTGAGAGGAAGTTCATCGGTTGAAGCCGAAGAGCGACAAGGGTTAATAGATTTGGCATTACACAAGTACTTTGGAATCGATAGACACCTTTCGAGAGGTGATGTATTTCACATCTGCATTGACTGGAGTTGCGGTTCTTGTATTTGTATACCATGTAGCCAAAGGTTGCACAACAAAAATGAGAACTTGATATATTTCAAGGTAAAATCTCTCCGGATAATTCCCCAAATCAACTAAAAGTACATGAGAATTACTCTTGTTGGGCTGGATGTTACTGAATAGTTCATGCATTCAGGTCATTGCTATGGAGCCTTCAAATGAGAGGTTTTTACGGGTCAATCACACCCAAACCGCCCTTGTGCTTGGAGGAAGTGTTTCTTCTGATCTTCCCCCAGATATGCTGTTATCGAGGTCAAAAATTTCAACGCCCTTACAGGAGGACACAGTAAAGATTTTGGCTTCTGTACTAGCCCCACCTCTATGCCCATCAGCACTTTCCTCAAAACTCAGAGTTGCTGTTTTACTGCATGGTCTTCCAGGTTTGCTCATTTCTATTTCATTATTGATGATCTTCACTGCAAATTATTCTCTCAAGTGGTGAACTTTTTATGGGAGACAAAGTGAGAGAAAGATCTACTCTGATCGCAACAAGACTTTGAGACTGTTAATCTCCCTGATTACAGTGATTTTGGATGCAACTTTGGTCACAGCCTGTGTATGCCTTGCATACAATTGAGTCGTGTGCTAATAGCTTTTCAATACTTGTTGCAGGGTGTGGAAAGAGAACTGTGATTAAATATGTTGCTGGGAGGCTGGGTTTACATGTAGTTGAATATAGCTGTCACAGCTTATTGGCATCATCCGAAAGGAAAACATCTGCTGCGCTGGCCCAGGCTTTTAATACAGCCCAAAGGTAAAACAAATTACAATGCATTCTTTCCTTATTTCTTCTCGTGGTACTCAGGAATCAGGATTTATGCTATATATATATATATGATGACCTTGCAGTATGTTAGTTGTTGTTAATACAATTCCATGCAACTGTGAGTTATCTGTTCAAATCTCACTGAATACGCATTACATTAGTTCAGCGATGTAAAGACTGTAGTTTACTCTTTCACAAGTTTGGCAATTAGGATTGTACTGAACTCGTCATTTCTGTGATGGTACATTACCCGACCTGGTCGGTGCTTTATGTCCGTGATGTATTGATTTTGCGACAGGTATTCACCAACAATAGTTCTGCTCCGACATTTTGAAGTTTTTAAAGATTTGGGCTCTCAGGATGGTTCACTGGGTGATCGAGTTGGTGTGTCATCCGAAGTCGCATCAATCATTAGGGAATTCACTGAGCCTGTTTCCAGTGGTGAATACAGTTCCATGGAAGCAAAATCTAGTGGGAATTTAGTAAGATGTGTTCTTTTCTGGATTCTAAAACGTTATTTTCATTAGTTTCTTCGTTCAGTCTTATTCATTTTACCAAATTGTTGTCACATAGTTCGGCATAGGTGATCTCTCACAAATGAAAAAATTAAATTTCATCGTGTTAAATTAAGTATCTTGCCTGTGAGCTTGTTCGCTTCCATAAGCAACATAATCGATTTTTGAGCCAAAATGGTAGATGAAAATAAAGATGTCAAGAATTCATCCCCTCATGATGCCTTATCTGTTATCTGCTGATGCAGTTTGTAGATGATATTGGAAAGTTTAGGCAACACCAGGTGCTATTAATTGCAACTGCTGAAAGTGCTGAAGGTCTTTCACCGACTATCAGGCGCTGCTTTAGCCATGAAATACGTATGGGTCCTTTGACTGAAGAACAGAGGTCTGAGATGCTGTCTCAGTCTCTCCAAGGTGTTTCTCAACTCCTTAATGTATGTGTATACGAAGCACTCTTGTCTTTGAGGGTTCGGTAGTTAAGATATCATATCCTTTTTAACATTCGTATTTAAGTTGTTCAACTTTGACTACACGTTCAGGCTTAATGCAAATGTCATCATTTTGCAGGCAAGTTCAGATGAATTTGTGAAATCCTTGGTGGGACAGACATCGGGTTTCATCCCTCGTGACTTGTGTGCTCTTGTAGCTGATGCTGGTGCCAACTTATTCATAAGAAAGGAGTCCATGATGGAGAAAATCTACCCTTTATCGGATGGACATCCTAGACACAATCTGGAGCAGGGTGACCAATTAGATAACACCAGAGAACCATTAACAGATAAAGAAGACTTTACCAAAGCCTTGGAACGATCGAAGAAGAGAAATGCATCAGCACTTGGTGCTCCAAAGGTAACACATGCTATATTTTCCCAGTTCTGTCACTGGAGGTTCGTTGGGTGCGTTGTCGTTTAACCCTGAGTTCTTTTTTGTAGCATTTGAATCATTGGATGGCTTTTCAGATACTTGCTTTTGGAAACCACATGAATTTATTGTGGGAGATGGAGATTATCTTGGTTATTTGTTCATTTTTAGGTTCCTAATGTGAAATGGGAAGATGTTGGTGGGCTTGAGGATGTGAAGGCCTCGATATTGGACACAGTTCAGGTGTGCCTACTCATAATTTCTTCTCTTTTGCACAAACAAATATAATTTCTGCTGTATCTAAATATCATCGATAATGAGTTTTGGAGCTTTTTCTCTAAACTAAATATTTGACCATTTTCATGTATGTACAAACCATTGTTGAACGATTAACTAAATTCTGTCCACCCTTTTCTGCTGCTTTGCTTCCTCTGCAGTTACCTCTCCTGCATAAGGATTTATTTTCATCTGGATTGCGTAAACGTTCTGGCGTTCTTCTCTATGGCCCTCCAGGAACTGGGAAAGTAAGCCATTTTGTCAATTAACTTGTAGCCTTCCCTGTCGCTTCCCTGAGCCATTTCTGCATACCTGGGAAAAAAACAATCTTTTGATGGGTAGTATGATTCTTGATTAAATTTCTAGACTTTGCTGGCAAAAGCTGTGGCAACAGAATGCTCCTTAAATTTTCTCAGTGTGAAAGGTCCAGAACTAATCAACATGTATATTGGTGAGTCAGAAAAAAACGTTCGAGATATATTCCAAAAGGTACTTCTCCTTTCTCCTGAGAAACTTCCACCAGTGACTTGATATGCTCTAGCCCACGTTCTTAAAGTAATTTGTGCCATCAAATTATGGACTTTGCTTTGCAGGCCAGATCAGCACGTCCATGTGTCATCTTCTTTGATGAACTCGATTCTCTTGCTCCAGCTCGAGGTGCTTCTGGTGACTCTGGAGGTGTCATGGATCGAGTGGTCTCTCAGGTCAAGATTCTGCTCGGTGTTTATTATCCCGTCTTTCTCTTGCACAAGTAGACTAACTTTATTTAAACTGGATCATTGTTATGTCTAGATGCTTGCAGAGATTGATGGCCTAAATGATTCCACCCAGGTATGATTCTTTCAACCATTTTGTTTACCCGTACCTTATGCTTTTAGTTCTCTACTAAGAAAAACGAAAGAGTTCAAACACTGGTCCGGCTTTCTAGGATCTTTTTATCATTGGAGCGAGTAACAGGCCTGACCTGATCGACCCAGCTCTTTTACGACCTGGCCGATTTGACAAACTGCTATATGTCGGGGTCAACTCTGATGCATCTTACAGGGAAAGGTTAGCTTTTTTTTGGAGGAGCATTTCCTTTTTTGCACCACACCATAACTCACCAATCTCCCTTTTTTGCAGGGTCCTCAAAGCACTTACTCGGAAGTTTAAGCTACGAGAGGATATATCCCTCTATTCAGTAGCCAAGAAATGCCCCCCGAATTTCACGGGTGCGGACATGTATGCCTTGTGTGCCGATGCTTGGTTCCAGGCTGCAAAACGAAAGGTCAGTGAGGTCATCACCTTCTCCTTTCTATGCAACTGTTATAGGGAAGACTGCTCATTGGGTTTGTCTGAAGAGCTTTGCGTATGTACAATAATAACATCCGATGCGAAAACATAGAAATCTCACTCATGGCCTTCTTGTTCCATGTGTTTAGTAGTTCCTGTATCTGTTTCTGAGAGATCTTTTATACCTGGCCAATACAGGTTTCGAATTCAGAAACTGGCGATTCTCCAAAAGACGATCCAGATTCAGTTGTTGTAATGTACAGTGATTTTGTAAAGGTATGATCTTTTCCACCCATTAATCCGAGCAAGAGAACACATACAAAATTTAGAAAGAAAGTTTTGATCTTAAATCAAAGCATGGTTCGGCGAAAAAAGGGTTGAAAGATAAGATCGCATGAAGAAGAAACCTTGCAAATCTATCGCGTTTTGCTTCTGAGAAGCCCCAGTTTGACAGTTTTAACCGTCTGATCCTTTTCATAGGCAATGGACCAGCTTTCGCCGTCACTTTCCATGGCTGAGCTGAGGAAGTATGAGACGCTTCGGGGCCAGTTCGAAGGTCGTTCGAGCTGAACGTGCTGGGTAACATACATCGTAAGGTTCATCTCTTAATTGTCAGTTTACATAGTATACACATCATAATTGATGATGATGAACCAACAAGAACAAAAAGGGGATGATGGTAACTTTCAATTGCTTTCAGTGACTATGGTTGTCTAACCAAGCGCCATTTACCTCTAAAAGACTAAAACTACGCGCGCTCTTTATTTGGGCCTGATTTTTATGGGCCTATTCTGGGCCCATGAGTTTAAACTTGTGTTGGGCCTAATTTGGATGGATCTTGGCCCAACCCATGATTGACTTTTCTGGATTAACCTCTGAGATGGGCATCAAAAACAGGATCTTAGATTCTTAACGTCCTCCACTATCTTTGGGTGAAAATGACACTTTCAACACTCGATTACTAAACTAATTACTAAATAAGCGCATACGAACGCGTGATCATATGATTAAGAGTGTTAGCACTTTTCATTTACATGTTTTTCTAAACAGATATATTATATTATCAAATCGTTTGGCTTTAATTGTTAACCATAAACTCATCATCAACAATAGCATTACCTCGGCCTATGGTCGAACATCGCGTCTCGTCTGTCCGAAAGAAACACAACGAATTTGAATTCCTTGCGAAGCAATCATCTAAAATCAAGGGTAATGCGTTACGTTTCAGTGTAAGATCTTCTCAATTCCAAAGTCTTTTTTTTTTCGCCTCCCATAATCGTCATGACGCTTCGTTTTCCCTGCAATTTACGTTCACGTAGCTGTTGGATTCGCGGCCGGATTTGATTTTGTTCGGCTTCCGTCAAACTCCTCGAGGTTTATCGGTTGTTTTTCTCGTCTGCGAAATGGGTCTTGTAAAATTTTGTTTGCCGAGTCGAGTTTCTGGAGAAACGGAGATCTGTTTCAGCGGTTGACTGGGGAGAGGTGGGTTTTGGTTTAGATGATTTCTGTGAGCAGCAGCGATGCGAGGAAGGATTTAGGGTTAGGGTTTGGTGGAAGAGCG